TCTTGGAAATTTCCAAGCTCATCCTGGTTCCATGTGTATGGCTATATCAAACTCATCTAATTCCTCTTCCACAAAATAGCAGTTTAAATAATGTGAAAATCATTGATATCACCCTCCCTGCCTGTGCCTTTCCCATTACATGATTCTTATCTTTTTCTGACAATACATCTTCAGTTTCATCTAAAGATTATTGAATGACATTGTCTCCAATTCTTTCATCGTTATGCTTTTTTTTTTTTGAGGCAACCTGTGCTTACAAATGTGATTTATCTCCATGTGCATTGAGTCACTACTATGTGCTGAGATACAAAGATGAGAAGATGGAATGAGGCTGCAGGGAATGGTGGAACAGCATATGCTAAGATAAGAAGGCATGAAGCCAGAGAACTTCAGACAGTTCAGTGTATTCCTGGAATGTAAGGTGTAAACTGGAATTGGATTCAATGACACTACAAAAGGAGACAAGTGGGTTTTACCTGTAGGTGATAAGGGTCATCGAAGGACTTTTCATCGGGGGGACAAGACGTTCTGGTTTGTGCTTTAGCATGAGATTTCTAACTGCAGCAAGAAGATCGAATAAAACTGGACATAAAGAAACATTAACGGAATGAAGAACACCAAGAGGGTAAAGAAGAAGAAAACAAGTCATGAACAAAAATGTCCAAAATATATGCCAAAGGCTAAAAGTGGTTATCTCTGGGTGGTAGAATAAGGGATGATCAACTTCTTCTTTTTGCTTCCCATGTTTTGTAATTTCTCTGTCATAGGTATTTTCTATTTTCTCTGTGATTTTCTGTTTTTCCTATAATACATGATTTTTCACATGTTAGTTATGTAGTAAAAATAAGTCATTCTTGTCTAAAGACACTTCAAAATCAAACTGTGTGACTTGATAACCAGTTAGAGGGAAGAGCCTCAGGAATCAGTTTCTGGCCTGGGTGCTCAGGTGGGTGGTACAGCCCCTGGCTGAGATAGGGGCAGGGGGACAGAGCAGTACTTCAGAACTCTGGCAGCATGCCTGATGGTGGGAAGGAAGCCCAATGGGTGCTGTGGCTTCCTGTTGACCTCTCTGTAGCCCACTCATTAGTCTTTGCCTGAGTTTGCAGGCCCCTGAAACTTACTTGTCCATTCACATCCTTACCTGTACAGCAGACTCCATTGCAGCAAAGGCCATCAGAGTGCCGTGATAGCAAAAGCATTTACTTAGATTGAAAGTTGTGTCCCTCCTTCAATAAATACTCACTGAGTGCCTTCCATGGGCTCAACACCAAGCTGGGCATCAGTGCTAAGCTGGTGAAAAGAGCAGGCAGTTCCTGTCTTCACAAAACTCAGCCCAGTGTGAAGGACAGATAAAAATGCATAAAAACCACTTACTGGACATATAATTCCAAAGTGAGACTAATGCTCCAAAGGAAGGGAAATGGTTCCAAGGAGACATATAAAAGAGGAAACTTCTCTATCTGGGAGCTTGGGGAAGGATCCGCAGAAAGAGAGATGCTTGGGTTGAGAGATGAAGACTACATAGGAGGTAACCAGGGGAAAGACTTCCAGGCCGAGGGAACAGCAGGCTTCACAGCCCCGTGGCAGGGAGATGCAGGCATACCTTGTGCTTGCAAATGTTACTTTTTTTTTTTTTACAAATTGAAGGTTTGTGGCTCCCCTGCATCCAGCAAATCCATCAAGCCATTTTCCCAGCAATGTTGTGTCTCTGTGTCACACTTGGGTTATTCTCACAATATTTCAAACTTTTTTTTATTATTTTATGTGTTATGGTGATCTGTAATCAGTGATTAGGACTCACTGAAAGCTCAGATGATGGTGAGCATTGTTTTGCAAGAAACTATTTTGTAATTAAGGTGTGTATGTTGGTTTTTTAGAGATAATGCTATTGCACACTTAATAGATTCCAGCATCATGTAAACTTAACTTTTACATGTCCTGGGAAAGACAAACATGCACTTGATTTGCTTTAATGCAATATTCCTTTCATTGCTATGGTCTGGAACTGAACCCTCAAGATCTCTGAGATTGCCAGTATGGCATATTTGAGGCCAAAAGAAAAGCTATTTTGACCAGGAGCACAGAAAGTGAGGGGCAGGGGATGGGAGTGGATGGAGAAATAGATAGGGGTCCAGCCCTTGTGCCACACTGAAGGGCACAAGAGAGACTCTGGTCTTTATTCTAAGAGCAGAACCTCTGGCCACAGCACAGAGGAGAGGTTCCTATTCTGTGTATCCCACCACTTTCTCACCAGCCCAGGCTACGGAACCGAAGGCCTGATAACAAAGCTCACTGGTGGCCTGGGTAGGCAGCATTGGGAGACGTCCCTCTCCCTTCAGCGAGTAGCACTTAGAGCGCTCCCCTACCAGCAGACACCTCTGAAACTTGCTTTGCAGTTCAGTTTTCAACTTCTTCCATGGGTTCGCATACTTTACCACTAATGTGTGTACAACTTGCTAATTAATGAAATCATTTGGATCTGAAAACATCTTGTTCTAATGGGAGGCTGCAAGGCACTCTCATTAATTCACAGGTAAAATTATTCCAGCTTTTCTCTTCTTTTTATTTTTTTCCCTCTCCCCATCTTGGCTCAATAACTGGGGAGAATTCCTCTAATTAGCCTTGAGAAAAATTACTCCACCAATCACAGAACACCAGTGGCTGCCTTGGGGTCTGGGGAGAGAGGGACCCAGACTTTGTTTATCCAGTGCAGAAGGAGGACTGTGGGTGAATGCAAAGGTGAAACTCTCCCAATATACAGAGCAGGGGAAGGATATCCACAGCTGGTAGGCCACATCAGGTGGAGACGCTAAAAGTGCCCTGTGTGGTGTGATGCACAGATGGGTGTCCTATCATATGTATGTCAAAGGCGGCCATAGGTTTTCTGCACAATTAGCCTCCATGTAAGGAAGGAGAATCTGCCCTTCCCCCCACGTCTCTCCTAGGAGATGAAGATTTGGTGTACTCACTGTTGACAGAAAGCTTTCTTGGAACTGGGGGTAATCTGGGGGTGACTTGCTGGTAACTCTCCACCATTTTGCAAATGAAAACTTGAAACATCCCTTTTAAACAAAGAGCATTCTTGGTGTCATTTATGGTTGAGCTTATAAGTTAGGGGGCCATAAAAAAAATGAAATCTTGCCATTTGCAACAACATGGATGGGACTAGAGGGTATTATGCTAAATGAAATAAGTCAATCAGAGAAAGAAAATTATCAAATGATCTCACTGAAACATGGAATTTAAGAAACAGGGCAGAGGATCATAGGGGAAGGGAGGGAAAAAAATGAAACAAGATGAAACCAGAGAGGGAGACAAACCATAAGAGACTCATAATCATGGGAAACAAACTGAGGGTTGCTGGAAGGGTGAGGGGGTGGAGGGATGGGGTAACTGGGTGATGGACATTGGAGAGGGTATGTGTTGTAATGAGCACTGGGTGTTATAGAAGACTGATGAATCACAGACCTCTACCCCTGAAACAAATAATACATTGTATGTTAATTGAATTTAAATTTTTTTAAAAAGAATTAAAAATTCTGTTTTACTTACAGTTCCTCCAATTACCCTTATCCTAACACACAAACTTTTTTTTTGACATTCTTAGATGATGAACAATTTGACCAAGAAACTATATATTTTTAAATATTTTATTTACCATAGTGTATATGGACACAGGCAGGCAGAGGCAGAAGCAGGCTCCCTGTCGAGAAAGGAGCCCCATGTGGGACTCGATCCCAGGACACTAGGATCATGACCCGAGCTGAAGGCAGCCACTTAACTGACTGAGCCACTCAGGCATCCCAACCAAGAAACTATTTTTAAAGTAAAGTATAAATAGACATACTATCATTTCCAAATGCTGTCCAAAGACATCAGGGGAATTTATTCTAGATATATTAGCCCTGCCTATAACTATAAATTAAACATGTCCTGAAATCTTGAAAAAAAATTTTTTTAATTAAATTAAAATTGTTAAAAAGTTAAAAAAGAGATAGAGAAAGCAGGAAAAAAATAAAAGTTAGGGGGTCCTTTTTCCCATAAGACAGCAGTATAAGCCTATAGACTTTTGGAATGCACTGACAAGACCCATGTGCTAAACAGGATTTTTCATTTACTTTTTTTTTTTCCTGACAGGATCTGGGTACTTTCAGTTTTTATTGTGGTAATGTATCCATATCAAAATTTGCCATTATAACCATTTTAAGTGTATGGTTCAGTGGCACTAAGTATATTCACATTGTGCAATCATCACCACCATCCATCTCTGGAAGTTTTTCATCTTCCCAAATGGAAAGTACATACCCATTAATCATGAACTCCCTTCACTGGGGTTTTTGAATGGAAGGCTATAATGTTCTTCAGACTTCAGTCCTGAGGGAAAGGGGCCTGGTCAGAAATCTGTAGGAAGAAAGGTCCACTCATGTAGTCCTTAGAGAGAAGCCCACGGAGGTCTCACCACCTATATGTATCCTGAGATATGAGTCAGTTTCAACAATGGAAGTCCCACCCTCCCAGATGCCTGGCAACCAGATCTGTGCTTTCAGCAGATGGGTCAGCCATTGGCTCTAGTAATCTCACCCTGAGTGATAAGCAAATCTTTGCAGGGCTATCTCTAGTCAAAATTAACTCTCACTATAGTGAGATGCTGGTCTGGGATGAAAAGATGTTAGGATATTAGAAAATTGGATAGTTCTGGATAAAACAATATGTTCTTCCCCTTAGAAGCACAGCATCTGCCAGTCCTTTCATTTGGATGTGCCTCCGAGAAAGATCTGGAGTCAGGCCAACCGAGATATCAATCTCTACTCTGTCACTCACTAACTGTGTGACCTTAAGCCTCACTTTCCTCATCTAAAAAATGGGGCTTGTGATACATCACTGGTAGAGTTGCTAAGAAAATTGCATGAGATTACATCAGTATGGCATCCAAAATAGCGTTTGGTTCAATAAATGGAAACTGATGTGCTCACTGTTACTGTCTGATTTTGTCATTGTAGGCCTCCAGGTGGTTCTGAATTCCATTATCAAGGCTATGGTGCCCCTGCTGCATATTGCCCTGTTAGTGCTGTTTGTCATCATCATCTATGCCATCATTGGCCTGGAGCTTTTCATGGGGAAGATGCATAAGACCTGCTACAACCAGGAGGGCATAGCAGGTAAGGGAAGATGCCCAGTGGTCAGCTCTCAAGAAGCTTCCCTGGCTTGTTGCTACTTTCCTTGTAACGGGGTGAACAGCCACCACGTGATCAGTGGTGCTAGGGAAGGCCTCCATTCAGGTACTCATCTTTCCATTCTGTGGAATGAGAGGCAGAGGTTGGTATTATTTTCCTCTTAGTTACTTTCTTTCTAATAAAAGAGGTCTTTGTTAAAACAGTTAATTGCAAGTTTCTGTCCAGCACTACTAAACCGTTAAATGAGCTGTGTGAATCAAGAAACATCACCTAGACAACCTGGAGTATTTTAATTTAAGAATCAGAACTGATGTAATGAGCATGTATATCTCTGTCCATTGGTCCTTCAGTGTCACTTGTCATCCAGAGCCCTTTCATGAAAGCAGCTTTGCCAGCAGCCAGTAGATGCCTCCATCACAACCCTGGGTTCTGTGCACCCTTCAGGGTTGATCTTGGCTCCTCTGTGCTGTGTTTTCTGCTTCTCTCTTCATAGGCCTGACAGATGCTGGCCCCCTGTCACAAGGTGGGGTGGAGGGGGTGCTTCTTGAGACTTCTCTCCCCATGGTCTTTCCATAAATCAGTATATTTAACAAGAAATGCTGAACCATTAGGCACTTCTCTGAATAGGACTAAAATTTTGGCTTGTGGGATATATTACAAATTGTTGTCTTAGGTTACTAAAATCTCAGTGGTGCCTTTAAAAAAAAATCATTTAAACAGGAATTGACAGAACTTTTCAGCAGACATGTAAAATAGTTTAAAACAAAAACTTGTTGAAAAAAATACTTCCCCCCTAAAAGGATTAGAAGTGTTAAATTTATGTGATTGTTTTTTCCAACAACCAGATCTTTTATCTTGGATTTTGACATCTTGGTAGAGAAAGGGGAGACATCTGTCTGAAGCTTTAAAAGATAACTCATTTCTCTCCATCTGTACTGCTTCTCCTTCCCATTCAGCCCAGGCATTAAATTAAATTTGACCCCTCTTGCTTTACGATGGTGAGGAGGTACAGATCTGCACAACAAGGAATGACAATAGGCTATTCATATTCAGAAATCAAAATAGAGTACCTGATCTAGATGGTCTGGTTTAACTGGGTGGATTGACTGGGTATTTGTAGTTTCTAGATCACCACTACGTGACCATAGTCCTAAAACAACAACAACAACAACAACAACAAAACCCAATAAACCTATGATTACAGATTCACACCATTGTTTTTATTTTTTTGATAAGGAGTCTATTTAAGAGACCATTTTTTCACTCTGGAAAGAACTTCCTAATTATTTGAGACATAATTGTATAAAATAAACTGTCGGGGCACCTGGGTGGCTTAGAGGGTTAGGCCTCTGCCTTCGGCTTCAGTCATGGTCTCAGGGTCCTGGGACCAAGTCCCGCATCGGGCTCCTTGCTCAGTAGAGAACCTGTTTCCCCCCCTCTCTCTCTGCCTACTTGTGATCTCTCTCTGTCAAATAAATAAATAAAATCTTTTTAAAAAATAAATAAAATAAACTGTCATATTTAAAAAAAAAAAAACTAAGTTCTTTAATATTAGGACAGATCTTGCCTTCAGTTAAAATTCTGAGATTTCCAGCTTTGTTTAGAGGAATACCAAATAATGCAATGAATAGTATTTTCCCCTTGAATTCAAATCTTTCTTGTTCAGTTTAGTCTATAGCCAGCCCTGAACCAATAAATTTATGTTAATTGTGTAGCTTTGTCAGAGCTCATTCTAAGTCCCACTTAAGAGCTGGACCGTTCGTCTCTAAAGTTTACGCAGTCGTATTGAAATGATCAGTGACTCTTTAGACTCAAACTCCTCAGGCTGTCATAGGGAGGTTGAGTGTCAAAGACCCCAAGAGCAGGTGTGTGTGATGGTGTGGCTCTCACCAACAGCATGCCAAGGGGCAGGAAGAGAATGAAATGGTGAATTTCTGCCATAGAGCTAATGATAGCAACCTTATTCTGCAACCAACCACTTACCTAGGGAGCACTGCTCCCAGAGCTGCACATGGCTTCTATCATCCTGCTGGGAAAACAGCAAAAGTACATTTTTCACTGGTGGCAAGATCCTCTAAGGGCCTGTGCTAACAAGCAACCCTGAATGTTGGAAGTCACTGGGCTTTGTTATCAGACCTGCAGTGGCCTCAACCGGCAAGAAAATGATGGGCACGATAAACAAAGGAGGCACAGGATAGGATGCTCTTCTCTGAACTGCAGCTGCACAGTCTGGTGAAACAGCCGCCAACGGCCTACCAATGCTTATAGCAGCCTCCCCACTCCTAGGATAAAGACCAGAACTGGCCTCACCAATTGGAGTGGCCTTTTTAGAACTGTATTGTTTTCCATTCTTGATTTAAAAAGCAAACAAACAAAAAAACAGGACTAGGAGAAATACTTGGGATGTCACCTTCATCCTACCAGAAGATGCATCAGATTATTTAGCAGTGGGCTTTACCTTCACCCCACAAGTCAGAAGGGAAGTGAGCTGCCATGGTGAAAAGGACCATCAGTCTGGGGATCCAGGGTGTCAGAGGACAGACACTGAGAGAAGTGTTCCGGAGAGAGGAGCCATGCCAGCTCCAGGAAGGTGACCTCACTCTGTGTAGATCCAAGCTCCCTGCTGGGAAGAGGGGCTGAGGACACCTGGCTATAGATGCCTCTTCACTCAACACTCTGCAATCAGGAGCTCTTGGAGCTCCTCCTTCCTAAATCTGCCATCTGATGACAAATCCAGGGCCTCACTCCATCCTTCCCAACAGAACATGAAACCACAGTCATCAGAGCCTCTTCCACCTACATAGTGACTAAACTAATGAGAAGGAAAAAAAAAAAGTATGGGAATCTGGACGTACTCCGTGCAGCCATAGAGAAGGAGACCAAAAATCTGCAATCTTTGAAACCAACCCCCACGTTGGTTTTGGAGAGTTATATACCACCTTTGGAATGGGTGATGTTTTGCATAAACCTCAGACTTTGTGTTGAATTACCATATTTTTCTGCCAATTTGGATTATACAAAAGTGTTTGTGAGCCTTTGTGATAAAGGAATTTAGATCAAATTCTTCTTGTTGCACTCTAAGACTTTTTCTCAGGCTGGGTATTTTATGTGCTTGTAGATTGTAGGACACATCAGATTTTGAGCCATGTTTTGGCTAAAGAAAGCTCTGGAGCTGGCTGGGTGGACCATAATTCAGCCTGTAGGCTGCCCTTCCAGTTCCCTGTAGAGGTGGTCTCTGAAGAGGCAGTTTTTCTCTGATCCCAGAGGCATCTGCAAGGCGCCTTCCTAGTTCCTCAACAGACACATCACCATATGCCGGCACCTTTTGTTTCTCGCTGTCCCATCTGTCTGATGGCACTCTGAGCCAGGCCACTCTGAATCGCTCTCCCAAGCACACTAATTACCCCTGAGGCTGGCAAAGAATTGGTTGGTTCAAACCTAGAAATGAAATCACTCTCATTGTATTCACTCCTTAAAGTTGGGTCCTAAAAACGTAATTGATTTTGTCTTTTGTGATTTCTCCTTAGAACCCCTAACAGGCACTCTCCCAGGATTTCATGTTTTTGTTGGTATTAACTGCATTTCTAAAATCTCTCCTAATCTTTCCTCCATTCTTTCACCACAAACTTAATTTGGACTTTCCAGAATGATTCTACTTCACTTCTGTTTTAAAGCATAAGGCCTACATCTTTGTTTCTTTCTCCTACTTTTGTTCCCGCTTTCCTCCCTGGGGCTTCGTGACTCTGCAGAAGAAAACCAACACAATTTTCATGTTCAAACTAATTTCCCCCCACCTTCAAGTGCATGTCGCAAGAACCTGCTGATGTGTGTGTGTTCACATTTTTCAAGTGTTCCCTTCAGTGCTTTTTATAGATACCTATTTTTACCAGATCATCATTGTTTCTTAATTGTTCTCAAATCTTTTTTTATTGTTGTTCAAGATAGTTTAAAATAGCAGTGGTGTTTGAGCCTTTAGATAATCTCTCTGAACCTCATCCTTTTATTATTATTATTATTATTAATGAGATCCCTTCCCCTTGATGCCATTTTCCTTTCAACCTATATTTTTCTATAAAACCCCAAAAGGTGGTGGATATTAAGGAGAGCACGTATTGCATGGAGCACTGGGTGTGGTGCAAAAACAATGAATACTGTTACGCTGAAAAGAAATTAAAAAAAAAAAAAAACCCAAAAGATGTTTTTCTTCCTTGAGGACACTCAGCATTCACTTTAGCAACCTTCACTTTTGCCTTATTTTTGCCTGTTTCAGAAATAGAGAGCACAGGGAAGGCTGTCAGATGAGCAGTGACAACACAAAGATTAACAACATCTTTATTCACTAGAAGGCAAAACAGGAGAAAAAGAAATGCAAGTTGTTCCTCTGTTTTTTCACCTTCTTTTTTGCTCCCATCTCCTATATCATTCCAGCACTTTTATCACAGTGACTGAACATATCACAGTAGAAAGTCATCACCAGAACAGGTGAGAAACCCAACAGAACATATAATGTATTTAGTTCTTGGTTCCCCAGTCTCTCAATTTTTTAGGTGTTTGTTGCCCACTTTTTTATGCATTCTTTAGGGTTGGGATTGATTTCTGAGTTTCCCTCTTTTTATAGCCTCCTGTTGTTTAAACTCACAGCCAAATCTCCAAAGACTTTAAAAATTCAGAAGTCACAAAAAATTGACTAGAGTTCAGTTCTAGGAGCAGAACCCTACTGGGAGCCAGACCCTGGAGTCAGGAAATGGGGTGGACACTGTCATTCCCTCAAACAGTTCAGGGACCAGTGATGCAGGCCTTTACACCTTGGTCATCACACAAAGACCCACACACAACCTGAAGCACCAGGCCAAGGATAAGCCAGGAAGCATGGTTCACAATAGCCCAAACCTGGAAATAATCCAAATGTCCATCCACTGGTGAATGGTTAGACGTACAGTGAAATGCACTGCTTGGCAACAAAAACAAATATACTATACTGATATGGGCAACAACACAGATGAGCCACAAAAAACATTATGCGAAGTGAAAGAAGACAGACACAAAAAGCCACATATTGTATGATTCTATTTATATGAAATTTCTGGAAAGGCAAAGCTGTAGAGACAGAGTGTAGATCAGGTTGCTGGGGGCTGGGGAGAGAAGCTTGGATTGACTGCAAACAGGCACACAGGAATTTAGGAGGATGATGGACATGTTTTAAAATGGGTTGTGGTGATAGCTGTACAACTATATAAATTTACTAAAAATAATTGAGCTGTACATTTACATTGATGAATTGTAAGACATGTAAATTATATTTCAATAAAGCTGTTAAGAGAGAAAAAGTAAAAAAAGCCAAGAAGACACACTCCAGCATGTATTTCCAACCATACTGCTCAGTTCCATTCTCGTAAGAACTGTCTCTTAGTTAGGATTAATAATCCTCTTCTTGTCTTCCTCTTTGGAGTAAACAGTTTCAAATTTGAAACCACAAATTGAGAAAGAGCCAACCAACCAATAGTCTTCAATACAGAGGTACTAGACATTCGTAATTGTTGTGATGCATATGAAATAAGAAAAGACCCTGGGTGATCTGTTATTCTCTAAATGAAGAACTATAAGTAAATTCTCTATCTGGGGGCATATCTTCATTATTGTTAAAGGCAATCATTTGTTATGACCGAAGTCTATTCTGTTTATTACTGTTACCTTCTATAAGACATGAGACAATGTCTTTAATTTCACAAACTTCTGTGAAATTCAAACTATTACCTTCCACAGCTGGGTCAAGGCTACCAGTATTTTACCATAATGGGAATTCTTAGATCAGTCTAGTCTTTTTTTTTTTTAAGGGTTTTATTTATTTATTAGAGAGAGAGAGAAAGAGCACACATGAGTACACATAAGGTTGTGGGAGGGGGCAGAGGGAGAGGGAGAAGCAAACTCCATGCTGAGCAGGAGCCCTGTTCAATGTGGGGCTTAATCCCAGGACTCTGAGGTCCTGACCTGAGCAGAAAGCAGATGCTTAACTGACTGAGCCACCCAGGTGCCCTTAGATCAGTCTAGTCTTATTTCAATTTACCAATGATCTCCACACCAAAAATATAAGCTACATCTTAATTATTAATTTTTTAGTAACTCTTCCCAGCATGTAAAATTAGCCCAAGCACCATCTGTAGCCACAGGAGATATGTTGTACAGTTTCCTGAAAAAGCCCTGTCGGTACCTAGGGAGTATTGTCCCTGTCACCCACTGCAGGTCTGTCTTGATTAGAGGTCAGAAAAGGAGTCTTCTCTTCTGAAAGGTATTCATGCTAGAAACCAAAGAGCAGTGCTGCAAGGTTCCACATGACAATCAGCAGTGTTTATGCTCAAGGGTTGTAATAAAGACCACTATTGTTGATACTTCCCCTCATGGGAAGAATTTATATTTTGTCCTTCATCAGCATAAGGCTTCTACTATAAAATGACTTGTATCTTTGGTAATGTGTCCTGTAACACGTAATGGAGAAAGTGTTACAGAATGGGACTTCTTGGCTGATTATGTGAGAGATTCTTCCAATCAATATAACCCTCACCCTAAACTCTGGTATTCCAATGGAAGGCTCCACAGATACATTATCACCAAAGAAAGAAAAGGTGGACTTCCTATCACTTTCCAGAATGTTTTCCACTTGGAGTGATTGCATCATCATTAGCTTTTAATTGGCCATTTGCCATTGACCATGATGACATGTTTCAGCAGAATGTGCAATAGCCTTACCATCTTTGAAATCAATTAACGAGGTTAAAATACAGTTTTACAATTAGTTCAAAGTACTGACCCCCTAAATCAATGGCAGCCTAAAATGAATACCTCGTTCCTTATGTTGTTTAATTTGTCTGTGGGGGAACTAATGAAAACGTGTTCTGCATTATGGTTGTGGTTGTTTTGCCTAGCCGATCAACCTTATCCTGCCAGTTTTCTCTCTGACCTCTTTCTCCTTTCTCTTTTCTCTCTGCCCATCTCTCTCCATCCCCTCTGCCGCCTTCTCTTTTTCCCTGGTCATTCAAGATGTTCCAGCAGAAGATGATCCTTCCCCTTGTGCTCTGGAGACAGGCCATGGGCGGCAGTGTCAGAACGGCACTGTGTGCAAGCCCGGGTGGGACGGGCCCAAGCACGGCATCACCAACTTCGACAATTTTGCCTTCGCCATGTTGACGGTGTTCCAGTGCATCACCATGGAGGGCTGGACAGATGTGCTGTACTGGGTACGTAACTTGACATGGGCAGTGGCAGGGAGTGCAGAAGGCTGTGAGCCTTTCCTCAACATCTCCCTTTTCTTCCACTCTTCCCATGACTTTGTGGTCACATATACACCTTGATGGAATAGTTGATGAATGTCTTTGATTTCTTCCAGGTCTTTCATGAGAAACAAAGCATGAAATTTGCACCCTAATGAGTCTCTTTGTCCGCCCATCAGCCTAAGAGAAATGTCATCGTTCAGTTTATCTTACCATAGTGAGAAATACGGGCCTACAGCTGATGATCTGTGAATGAGTTGGCTAAACCTGAGACAAGGATTCTATTCAACTCCCCTTCCTGTAGAAACTGTAGAATTTCTTCTGTTCTTATCCTTGTCTTGCATCTGTCCCCCCAAAGAGAGCTAGAAAGCACAATTATTAATTTTTAGGGCTAAGGAGAAAAGTCAGGCCTGGTCTTCTAATAAGAAACAATTTTTATTGAACTGTTAGTATTATGGCATGCTATTATATTTCTATTTTTCATGTTAATCTTATCATATTAGAGTAGTCCATCAGACAAACACATTGCCATCATTTTCACTGCTAGCAAAACACTCTGCTGGTCATGTGTGCGTGTTTAGAAACACTACTTCCTACGTGTCAACCAGTCATTGGTAAATCTTCTTTTACCTTCAAGATGCCCCTTTTATTATCCAGCAGCCAACACTACTTTGCCAACCTTCAAGCTGTTAAAGTGCCAGATTTCTGCCTATGGGACAGGCAAATATACACACCATATTTGAGCTGTCTCCTTTCTGGCAGAGTCAAGTCCATTATTTGTAAAAGCTCCAGAAAATATAATTCTTTGTAGGATCTCCTACTTGAGCATGAGAAATGACTTGCCAGAATCCAGTGTTGTTCTCCAGCATTTGGGTGAAAAATACTTGTTGCCAGTCTTGAAAATACCATCTCACCCACAGTTTTGCAAATAGTCGAATTTATTTGGCCATGCTGAAAACAGTCTAAGAGTCTGCTTGGGGAATAGTGTCTACATACTAAAGCAGGGAAGAGGGAGAGGGAAGAAAATGGCTTCCCATTGAACAGAGCCGCCAGATAGAAAGGAACTGGTGCCAAGAGAGGTCTTCTTAAAATCGGAAGAGTTTTGTAATAACACAGAGATGTGATACAGGGTATTGTATCTTTTAATTTTTTCATGAGCTCCATAACCTATTGATTCAAAAATCCTCTTTATCAAGTTTTTATGTTCAGGTCAACATGCTGAAACCCAGTGTTGCTATCAAATGCATACTTTGTGCAAATGACTACTTGAAACTTGCCTGAGAACCTTGTACCCAGAAAACATTTATTGAGCATTCCTTGCATGCCAGAGAAGCTCCTAGGTACAGGATTCAGATGTAAACAACATCCAGTTCAGACTAAAAATCTCAGTCTAGAGAAACAGTAAATCTAAACTGAATAATGATGGTATGACTGGAACTGGGCCATGGTAGAGTTGCTGTGCTGTGATACTTTGAAAAGAAGACAAAGGTCAAGTCACCTCTTTCTCAAATTAAAATGAAATACTGGAAAACATTTTTTAGGCCCATGCTCAACAAAACTGGCTTTGAATAATTTATAAGAGGAAAAGAGGGAATTGAATGTACTATGCTTAGGCAAATTTATTTCATTTAGTAAAGCTGATCAAATTCCCAAGTGGTCCTTCTACCTTGGGTAGATCTCTCTGGCTATCCAAGGACAGAAATACCCTTCTGTACATGGGCAGTTTCTGCTATGGGCCATGTAATGTATGAGCACGTGGAACTATGCTTTGGAGCCTCATCACATGAGCTTCAAACCCCTGCTTTAAGTTGCTATAGGAACGCCTTCCGTGGTGGTAAATTGAGGGCACGGTGGCAGTGGGTGGGTGGGTGAAGGGCTGGGGGAATAGGTATAATTTACTTTGCTGATGGCCCTGGTGTATTTTTGTGATCTTCCTTCATCACTCCCTCCCTCTCCCCCAACATAAGTCATTGATACCCCACCAGCCAGATGTGACCCAAAGAAATACTGTCGTAATGACAGCCAAAGTGGGGAATGAGAAGAAGCATACAACTGCAACTACCAATTTTCAGCAGCTGTGTTGTGCTTTCTCCCCTGGGGTGTGTGTGATAGAGCTCAGGCTGGGAACGGAAAAAGTGTCAGAGGTGAAGGAACAATCCCAGGCTCATGGGACATGCCTCTCTGATTTTCCCAGCACCTTCCCAAAACGGCCATACTATGTGTATGTGTATGTGTGTGCATGCATACACACACACACGTGCATGCATACACACATGCCCATGTACACACACACACACACACACACACACACACACACCGTAAAGTTGAAACAGCCTCATACTTGGGTATTCATGATGGAAGCACTTCCCAGCCCAATGCTCCTGCTTTCAGACAATTTCTCTAATTGCTTTGACCTTTCTATGGCCATTTTTCCTTTCCTCCTTCTTTTCTCTCCCTCTTACTTCCTCCCCCTTCAGCATTCCTCCTTCTTGCCTCTGAGCTTATATCTCTAAACCCACAGACTCTCAAATCTCAGTGTACTTTAGTATAAAACATGGAACTTTCTAAATATAATGATACCCAGACTTTCCTCCAAGCCACTAAATGAGAAGTTCCAAAGTTAGGCCCCAGTATCTGCATTTTGAAAGGCTCTCCGGGTGATTCTGATCCCGAGTAGGAGTCTGAAAACCCCTAGAAGCCTAACCTATTCAATCTGCATGGTGCTGCTTTGATGCCACTGGATTTGAACCAGTCTAGGAAGCTATAGTTTCCATGGAAATTGAAGAAGCAGGGTCTTCCACTCAGAAGAATGCATTTCCCTTCAAATCCAAAGGGCAAGTCTACAGAATGTTGGAAGGATCAACCAAGATTTTCAAGTATAGCAATGAATGGAAACCCCAGAGCCAGGTTCATTCTGAACTATCAAACAGCTTGTTAGATGTTCCTAGGGAGAGAATCAGCCATTAAAGCGCTAAAGAAGCAATTGATTCAATCACTGGATATAGCTTGGGATGGAAAGGATCAGGGAGGTCAACAGTAGCAAATGGCAGACACCTGCTTCCTACTGTGGATAATATCAAATCCATTTCTCTTTTTCTGTGGCATCCATTATTTCATCCCATTGTTATGATTTGAAGAGTTAGTGGACTAAAAAGAAGATCAAACTTGGCCAAGTAATACTAGAACAGCTAGTTAAAGTTACTGGCCATACATTGGGTCAAGGTTCCAACTAAGGTGAACGATTTGTTGAAACACTTCTTTTACCGAATCTGCAGATGACAGGGTAAGGAGTGGGGGACACTGGGGATTCGGAAACTAAGCTAAAACTCAGTTTGAGGTGTGGTTTCCTCGAGCAATAGCTTCTTAAGCCAAAGCCCCATTTACTCTCAGAATGTCCATGCCTCTTCTAAAATGGTGGGGAATGGTGAGCAAACAAAAGTATAAGCCTTCTTTAGAAACAATGAACCACCAAGAGAGGGAAGAATCCAATAGTATATAGCATCACCATTAGTTTCTATTTCTATGTTCAGATTTTTATGTTTTTTTTTTAACCAAACACACCTAACTTTCTGCATGTAATTCAAGACTACTTATCTTATATGGTTTGAAAATGTGCCTTCCTGAAGATAGAAGAGGCTGCTGAATCAAGATCATTTTCAGGATTCTTAGATGTGGTTTGAGTCCGTTTGAAAATCATTATCCCTTCCACAGTGCATCCAGATCACAGTTAATTAACATAAACATCAGTCAGGTGCTGAGTTTGTACTTGAGATAGCCCCGTGCTCTTGGGGACAGAATAATATGACCGCTTACCCAGTGTTTGGAATACCTGGAGAAAGTTACATGTGAGACTTGTGGGAAAGGGAGGGAGCAGTTAGAAGTAGGCATCACCCAAACATACACGTTTCTAGCTCTTCTGGAATCTAGATGCCTGAATAAGCCTTCATCAAGAGGATGAATACCCTCCTGATCCAGGGCCCCCAAGAATATTACATACTGTGCAGCAAAGTAAAATCACTCAGATCTAGGTTTCCCTGGACTCATGCTCAACCCTACCTACCACAAACATAGTGGGATCACTTCTTTCCAACACCACCCATTGCCCCACCCCAACAATTGGCTTAAAAAATAGAAACTGAGCTTAAAAATAGAATTAGAAACAATACTTAATGAGAAGTCATATAAAGAAGAGATTTTTAGAATCACAAATAGTGTCTCTGTAGTATCTGGATTAGTTTGGGTTCAATAGGAGAACTTGGGAACAAAATTCTAGTATTTTAACCTTTCATGAGGCAGTTGTCAGCTCCACACTTGGTCTTGTCATCCCACTTACATGTTTGGACATGCTGGGAAGATAATTCCTTCTACACCCTCATACACACAGAGATGGACATTCACATCTGCTCTTGGTGCTGCTGAAACATCCTTCATTTATAACAAAGGTCTTTTACATCCAGGCAGATTGATTCAGGCTTTACCCTATTGTTTCCCCACTCCATCTTTTTTTCAAAAAGCCACCTCTTTTCACTATAGAATATAGAGAATGTCTCTGAAGGCATCAAGAAAGCGGAAATGGAGCTGAGTTCTATTTATGACCTAATAGTCATTCTAAGTGAAGAGCTGGGAAAAAATCCTCAAGTAACCTAGAAACAGCATCCTGGGCTTTTTCACAGGTTTCAAACAGAGAAAGTGGTAGGTCCTACTTAGGACCCTATAGTTCTTAACTTTTCATCTGCTTCTATTAGAGTGTTCCCCACTTAGTGCCCATGCTGTTTTAGACAAAGAATGTCATCTAGACAATAAACTAGTGGTTTACAAACATGTCAAGAAAGAAAATTAGCAACTCTCAATGCTATTACTTACTTAATTTTTAGGCTTTATTTTATTCATTTCACTGGTATTAGATGAGTCCTTATTATTTAATAATCTATTTAATAAACATTTATTGAGTATTTACTATGTTCCTG